TCGATCAGACAAATGATCCAGGCGTTCTCTAAGATGGGCAGCGTGATGAAGCACCAGGTGGTCAAAAACCTTTATGAGCACCCGGACAACAGGTTCGATCTGGTCATAGTGGGCTACTTCATGAACAGTTTTCAACTGGCCTTGGCCCACAAGCTAAAGGTTCCTCTGGTGGTTGCCCTTTCAAACCCACCTTCGTTCTTGGGCAACATTCTGGGAAACCCCGACGAAGTCTCCTATGTGCCAGCAATGCACTTGACTGTCGAACCTGGCATCCCCATGAGCTTTGGAAAGCGACTGATTAACCAATTTGGAAGCTTGGCACAGCGGTTATTTATGTTTGTGCTTGAGTATAGCAATGCAAGGACATACAGGTTCGTATAAGGCTGTTCTTTCCGTTCTAGCAGCTTTTTATCTAACTTTTTTGTATAGGGAGATCTATGGAGACGATCCTACTCTGCCCAGCTACGGAGACTTGAACAAAAACATTTCACTCATCTTTTTTGCCTCTCATGGCATAAGCGAGGGACCTATCAGGCCCAACGTACCTGCCGTAATCGAAATCGGAGGAATACAAGTCAAGGATCAACCTGATACTCTACCCCAAAATATGGAAGAGTTCCTGAAAGAAGCTCCACATGGAGCTATACTTCTTAGCCTGGGATCCAATCTAAAAAAAGATAACCTTAAGCCCGAAACAGTGCAGAAAATGTTTAATGTCGTCTCCAAGCTAAAGCAGAAGGTGATCTGGAAGTGGGATGACCTAAAGAACTCCCCAGGAGAGTCAAAAAATATACTCTACTCGGAGTGGGTGCCCCAGGACGACATCCTAGCACATCCGAACATCACTCTGTTCATTACCCACGCGGGAAAGGGCGGAGTAACCGAGGCCCAGTATCACGGTAAACCCATGCTGGCCTTGCCTGTTTTCGGCGACCAGCCCGCGAATGCCGATGCCATGGTAAAACAGGGCTTTGGTCTGCAGCAAAGTCTCCTCACACTAGAAGAAGACAGCTTTCTTCGCAACATTCAGGAGCTGCTCGAGAATCCAAAGTATTCTAAAGCTGTGCAGGCTTTCTCTACTCTCTATCGTGATCGTCCAATGAGTGCACGGCAGACACTTGTTTACTGGGTGGAATACGTGATCCGCTACCATGGAGCGCCTCACCTTCAAAGCCCCGTGGTGCACATGAGCTACATAGCTGCCAATAACCTTGATATTTATGCTGTGGTACTTGCAGCTATTGCTGCTATCTACTTTATTGTTAAATTAGTTTTTGGTTTACTTATTAAAAAACTTAAAAGCGGTTCAGGAAAATCACATGCTAGGCCGCAATCTAAATTAAAGAAGAAACAAAGATAGCTATAGAAATCAATAACTGGTAGTTCTGTCAAATAATTTATATAATTTCTAAATTATATAATTTATTAAGTTATAAATATACTCAAAATATTGTTAAAAAACATCGTGTCTTTCTTTTGTTTTTATACCCGTTACTCGTAGAGTATGCAAGATTCGTTGGAAAGTGTACAACAGCGATTCAGACCCTATAAAGCATATAAATTCTTGATCAGGATCACTAGCCAAGTCGAACTAGCCATGTCCGTCCGTATGAACGCAGAGGTCTCGGAAACTGTAAAAGCTACAAAGTTGGGATTTGGCAAGTAGGTTCTTGAGCTTTTTGCGCATCGCTTTTATAGTTATCGAGATATCAGCGTTTATACGGACGATTTAAGGAGATATGTGGGTGTTTGGGTGGGCGTGGCAAAACATTTTTTAGGTGAACTAATAAGTACTGACGAGAGTAATACAACACTCAGTATGAATATATAGTTGATTGAATCAAAAATTTTGGAAAATTTAAGATGGGGAGTCTGGTGAAGCCTTTTGCAAACTATGTCCTTCATTAAATACGCGTCTAAAAGTACCAATTTGTTTCATTCCGACAATGCGTAATGATTGTGAGCCATAATGTTTGTTTAAGGACCCTGGAATCAGGTTTTACGTATTAAGTTAAAATAACTAAACGATTGCAGCTTCTAAACGACAAACTACAGACACGTGGCAAATGTCGTTATTAAGGTATTTGGAAGTGCCTATCATGCCGCTTAAGCGTATCCAACCATTTTCTCAAAAACTAGTCCAATAATCTTTAAGTAATGCATTATAAAATCCTTAACTCTGGAGTCAAAAATGTTTTCACATACTGCACATGCATCCTGCATGGTGTATAAGTAGAGATCAAAATGGTAATCCGGTGGCCAAGATAAACTTGAAATGGCTTCAGAAATTTATAAATAAATGATGATAAATGGATATTTGAAGTTTATTTTTCCTTTCCGGGCGCTTGACCCTTTTTTCTCTAGGGACATTGTCACCATCTTCAGCAGGTTCCACTCTGTCCCGCTGAAACTTGGCTGCTTTCCTGGATCCGCGTGGCCTGGGGAAGTCGTCGCAGCTCGACACGGAATCCTCGATGGATTTTCTTTCTAGCCTCGATCGGAACACATATTTTGAACTCCCCACTTCTTCCATTTCGGAGGTCAACCGTTTATTTGGGATCTGAAACTTAAGAATTTGTCAATGCTGATATTCTTTAATAAAAATTTTGAACATCTTTAAGATGTAGCTTTGACGTTTTGTAGGCTGTTTGATGATAAATATGTAACTACACATAACATTATTTTCTTTGTCGAATTTACCAATGCAGAAAGTTTTTCCACTATTCAAAATATTACACTACTTTTACAAGTAGTACACCGAAAAAAATCTTTAAGTGTCAATTTAATAAGTGTGGGTGAAAATGACACTACACCTAGGATTAAACATATTGACATATATACATATACATACATATATACATATATATATATACATATATTGACATATTAACTCTTGGCATTATCATTCTATTAATATTTCAAAATTTTGAAAAAACGATCGGATAATTTCTGTCAAAATAATACAAAGACCTTTATATTTCGTTTTGTTACGGTAGTATATTAAAATGGTCTTTATATTTCTGTAATTAGTTTTTAGTTTTCGTGAAACCGGAAAGCTCTGTACATACAATGCTCCCCCGGTAACAACCTGCAAGGGTATAGAATTATTTATTTATTTAATTTTAATTAATTTATTTAAGAACGTATTTTCGGTGCCAGACATAATTTGAAATTCGGCGCTTGCAGAAGTCCAGACTCTGAACCAAATTCTCGACAATTTTTAAGCATAAACCGGCCGATTTGATCTTTTGGCAAAATTCGCCACAACATCGTCACAGAGATGCCAAACCGTAGTACATTTTAAAAATTTCGACTCGTTGGATCGTATATTGATTGATATTCCATGATGAAATGGCAAACCTTACTGAAGAGAAATGTCAAAAGAACGGGAAATATACTGCGTCGTTTGCTGCCCTAATCGGTGTACTTTTATAGCGTCCCTACTGAAAACCCGTTATATAGCATTCCGGTTTTCAGAGAATTAAACAAGGAAGAACGCTATAGTCGAGTATCTCGACTATCAGATACCCGTTACTCAGCTAAATAGAGATATGGAATTAGCAAAGCGAGATTAAAATGCGCCACCTACCGGCGGTATACAGATTTAAGCGTTATGGGCGTTAGAGTGGGCGTGGCAAATTTTTTTGGACCAATCGACAGGTATGGACGAGACCAATATATTCAGTCTAGCATAAAAATTGTGGGCGTCACAGGTTTTTGCGGTTTGTGGGCGTTAGAGTGGGCGTATAAGGCTACCGAGTCTAAATCTGAAATCCCAATTCTCTATCTTTGATAGTTTCCGAGATATCCACGTTCTTATTTACGATTTTTTGAAGTTTGTGGGTTGTTTATGGGCGTTAGGGTGGGCGTGGCAAACTTTTTTTTGGGTCAATCGATAGGTATTGATAAGAACATTACATTTCAGTTAAAATTTTTATTCTAGCATCAAAACTGTAGGAGCCACAGTTTTGGGCGGTTTGTGGGCGTTAGAGTGGGCGTGGCACTCTACTAAAATAAACTTGCGCTGCGTAAGAAGCTCAGGAATCTGCGCGCCAAATCTCAATAGCCTAGCTCCCATAGTTTCCGAGATCTCAGCGTTCATCCGGACAGACAGACGGACAGACGGACAGACGGACATGGCTAGATCGACTCGGCTAGTGATACTGATCAAGAATATATATACTTTATGGGGTCGGAAACGCTTCCTTGTGCCTGTTACATACTTTCCGACGAATCTAGTATACCCTTTTACTCTACGAGTAACGGGTATAAATATAATCGCAGAACTTTTAAGACTGTTTCATTTCAATTTTCTATATTATTTGTTTTACCGATGTTTTTGTATTATTTGTAAGTTAAATTTCCGATCGTTCCTATGGCAGCTTCATTATATATATATGTCCGATTTTTATTATATTAAATTCGTAGTTCTGAAATAATCATTCGATCGTCATATTATAGGAGCTATAGGATATTGTTCGGGAAGGGGATATTCGGGAAGGTTTCATGCCTATTGCTTTTAAACTGAGAGACCAGTTCGCGTAGGAACGGATATAAGGGCAGACGGCTAGGTCGACTCGTCTAGTGATCCTGATCAAGAAGATATACATATACTTTATGGGGTCGGAACCCTTTCCTTTACTGCGTTGCAAACTTCTGACTATAATCATTGTACCCTCTGCAAGGGTACAAAAATATTAGTACATGTATTGGCATGCTATATTATTAAGTAGTTCAACAAATATTATTGTGATGTTTTTGTATAGTATATGTACAATCAATCAAGAACTCCTCTTAACTAAATTAAATTAAATTTATATTAATAAACAATTTATAAAATAAATTTATTTATGTATATAGTATAGTTTAGAGATTCCCCAATACTGTATCATTAATACTCTTAACAGACCCTTTGATGGATCAAAAGTTTATATTATATATGTACACAGTATGATCATACTGCAAGAAAACGAAGTCAATAAAACGAGTTTCCAAAAGAATTGATTGTTTCACGGGTTTTTATAATTTTTACAAAATTGGAACCAGCTTCCAATAGTATTCACAAATAAAAGATAATAAAGCGTATTTCTAACATAAATTATAAAAATATTATATACTTAGTCTAATTGAAGTCACATCTTAAGAGATGTATGCGCACAATTCAGTTAGTGGTAGTAGTTTTCGTAATCTCGCTCAGTCAGTTGCCGGTTGTCGTATCGGATCTCTGCAGGACCTCTGGACCTACCAGAACGGACACCAGCCAATGTAGCACTGACAGAGGTTCTCGTTGTTGGTCGCCTGCTGGATGAGCAGCTCCACCTGCTGCTGCTCGTTGACGCTCTCCTTCGTCTGGAAATCGGTGCCGGTAAGCTTGCACTTGACCCGCTTGATCACCTGGCTGGCCTTGCTGTTTGTCTCGTCGGCCACGTTGTTGTGCAGGCCGCCTTGCTGCAGCGTAGGGTCGTAGGGCTTCGACTTAGCCATCGGCAGGGAGTCCTCCACGGAGTTACTAAGGCTGTCCTGCATCCCGGATCCGCCCCTTCCGCCTGGAGCTCCCGCCCCAGCCGCCGCATCGTTACCTTTCTTGTCCACATCCAACAGTCGCCAATTGAGCAGAGGGTCATACACGAAGGCCTCCAACACGGCCATCAAGGAATCCTTGTTTCGGCGGAGCACCAGCATCACGCTCTCGCAGGTGCGTCTGTACGTGCCCTCGATGCCAGTGACCTCCATGGCCTTGATTAGCATCCGGGTGAGACGGAAGGGTATCTTTTCGGGAAACTTTTCGCGCGTCATGGCCACCTCAAAACAGTCTCCAAAGTCGATGTGCAAGATCTTGCCGCTCATTCGGTCCAGCATAAGGTTCGACGGATGACGATCGCCCAGACCGAGGATGTAGCCCACCATAGACATGACCGCCAGGGAGCGGGTGTAGTTGTTTCTCCGCTCAAACCACAGTTCCGAGGAAGGAGACTTGAGCCACAGCAACTTAGCTAGGTCGTCGCCTTGCGTTTGACCCAACGCATGCTCGAACACTTCAACCTTCTGCATCAGTGTGAGATGATCGTAATCCGGAGCGAAGTTGAGCATGGTGCGGTGTTCCTGGTTGAGTGGCACCTTCTTCTTGTCCCGGTAGTCGCGGATCAGGGTGTGGAGGGTATCGCAGTGAGGTACCCACCCAATCAGGCCAGAGTTGGTGCTGAGCGGGATCACCGCGTACCGCTGGATAGCAAGATTTCGCCGGAACGTATCCGGATCGTCCAGTAATAATGTGTTTACTAACGAGAATAGCTGCATCACGCGCTCGTCCTGACGCAGATCCTCGTGGCCCTTTAGCAGGTACATGTAGTCCTTGCCGTTGGAGCCACGTATGCATAACTTTCGCGGGCGCTGCTTGGATGTAATCACCTGAAATGAAAACAGCCCCAACATATAATTAGATGATTTAATTTTTAATTTAAGAAACTTTTTAGTGTTCTACCTTTCAGAAATAAGTTTGTTGACTTTTTTGCTACCTTTTTTAGAGAAAGAACACTGCAATCCTTACCTGAAGGTTTGTTTTGATGATGCTAATCCGTATGAGCTCCTGGCCCGGATTGTAGGACCCGGGAACGGCCAACTCAAGGTCTTTGCAGGTCATCAGTTTGGGGGAGACGTACGGTAACTCCAGGGAGGTAAGCTGTGGCAGCTGGCGCGAGATCTTCTGGAAGACGTGGTAGTAGATGTCCCAGGCTCGATCCAGATCCATCACCACCGCGGATGTCTTATACCGCTGCGACCATTCGTAGGCTTCCGTCAGCTCTCGTCCATAGGCCTGCGAGAAGGATGTCTCCTTGAGCGTTTGCGGTCCCCTCTCCAGCATGGCATGCAATGGCTCCAAGATCTCAAACATGCCTTTTACGTTGCGATCTCCAAAGTACAGTCGAGAGGCCTCCTCCAATCCTTCGTGCCACTGTTCGTGCCAGAGGATCGCAACTCGGATGAGCTCCTCGCTGCACATGACCGCCTGCTCCACCAAAGTGGGGGAGTGTTTTCTCATCGAGTCCAGAATCTTAAAGGCGGCATTCCTGCGCGCTAACGACGCTGACTTGGAAGCCACTGTTAGAGGATAGACTAGCGCCTGTGGGTGATTCTTGCCTATGTCCATTAGCAGCTGGTGGATCAGCTGCCCCACCAACTGGCGGTGGGTGTCAATGCGGGCAATTAGCTGCGGGATTACTTGTAACCAGGTGTTGATTTCGATCAGCTTCATTCCAGAAAGCAGCGCCTCGTACACCTCCGCATGGTTTCCGTAGTCGAACCAAAGGGTCAAGAGGCGTAGCGTATCCTGCAGTGAGTTACCCTTGATTAGGCTGATTGATCGGAAAAAGCCCTGAACCGCTGGAACTGCATATTGCTGAATAATTAGCAGATCACTGTCAAGACCCATGCCCATTGCCATTCCCATGCTGACGCCCGAGGGCTGTTGTTTGTCCAGTGCCGATTTCTGTGCCTGTACCACCTTAAAGTTCATGTACGCCCACAGGTGCCAGGCCTTGTACCAATTCGGATCGTAGCTGGTGGCCTTCTCAAAGCACTCGAGGGCCCCTGGAATCGCCTCCGGTCCGAGACTATCCTGCAGCTTATTTTGCCAGGTGGCCAGGCGTAGGTAGCAACGGGCCATTAACCGCTGATCTTGCTGCTTTAGCGCTTCCGGTGGCAAACAGCTCAGCTCCTGACTATACGTGTTTACAAAGTGTCTCAACTGGTTGTAGGCGTCCTGCAACTGATTGTTGGCAGCCATGTACTTGGTATATGCATAAGTCACTTGGGGTTGATTGTACGGAAGTGGTTGCTTCGGATTCTCTTTGGGATCGGTGCCAAGTAGCATCACAAGAGTTTTGTGGGACAAGTGCAGGGAACCGCTCTTTCTGCACAAACTTGCGTATTTCAACCAGGTGTGTATGTCGTCATGCGGTTTTACCACCAACGAGTGCACCTGAATGATCCTTCGCCAGTCCTCTACTAGGCGTTGTCCTCCTTGAAGGCGCTTCCACCACATGGTCTTTAAGGGCTCTCTTCTCTCTGGGATCAGTTTGTATTGGATGACCTCCTCCAGTTCCGCCAGCATTTGAACACACACCATGGCTCCGTAAGCTCTTTCATAGGACTCGCCCGCCATTGATGTGAGCTCCGTGTCCAGGAGATCCCTGGTTTCGTCAATAAGGCGCTGGGCGGTTTCAAAGTCGTCATGATGCACCGCTAGAACTGCACGATAGTAGCTTCCATCCTGAGTGTCCTCCGGTATGCATCTCACATACTCTCGCATCGCCTCCCAATCCTGCAGACCCCAGGCAGCCACTGCAGCCAAGGGACTCGCTCTTGACTTCGCCTCCGTACCGAAGTTTTCCCACTCGTGCTTGGTGACATTGCTCAGCTCAGACCAGTCTCCTAGCGCCTCCAAGCAGCGCATGTGACCGAGGCGGGCCTCCAGGTCCGAGGAATCAGTCTCTAGGTTCCTTTCGTAATGCTCCAGAGCCTGATCCCAGTTATGAAGTTTTTCATACCATCTTCCTTGAACGTTTAGCTCGTTGGCTGCATTGCGATAGGTTGTAAGCAAACCCTCTGCCGCTTCCCTTTGCTGCAACTTGTTGTTAATCAGAATCAAGGACTCAAAAACCTGCGGATCCTCCCGCAGAAGAAACTCTTCTTCCTTGTATCGCAAAGCTTTGGCGTAAGCTCTGCAGGCCATCGCCCGAGTTCCCAACAGCTTAGTCTCTATTGGTATTGGGTCACGATCGCAATGCTCCATGAACTCAGCTAGGTTTAGAATCGTCTGTGTGATCTCCGGCATGTCGGTAACTTGCAGGGCTTGGATCAGCGACTGTGTTAGCTCCGATTTTAGATCCGGCGAGAGCTCCGTCCAACAGGAGATAAATGCGGCGTTAAAGAGGTCTCGCAGTAGAGTGTCATATTCCTGGGCCAACGACCGGCAGGCTCTTAACGCGTGCGAGGGCGATTCCTTTAGCAGGCCAATGGACAGCCGCTTCAGCCACTCCACCCAATCGTCTTTGGAGACGCGCCGAGTAACCTGCCACGCCATTCGCAGTTCGTTTGTGGTAACCTACAAGAAAACAATCGAACCTTTATAAGACTGTGCAACTATGATTGTGCCGTTAGAGTGTTATAGTATTTGATTAAACTAACCTGCAAATTTTTGTTATTGCTATTCCTGTCAGTCACGAAGGGCTCGTTGTTCTTGATCTTGGCCGTGCGCAGTCCTGACTCTCCCGCTCCAGAGCAGTCTGCCAGAGTGCTGTTGGATTGGATGCTACTAAGTAGCTTCTCGTATTCCGGATCCGCAATGCGGTGCTTGGTTAGAGTACGCTGCACCATGGGAACGAACACCAGGTACTTCTTGCCCAGTTGTTTGACCAGCGAGCGGAGCGTGATCATCGCTTGGTCCCGCAGCTCCGGTTCAGCGTCCAGCACTCGAACCAGTGGATGAATAATGCGCGAGGAAAAGTCGGTGAAGTCCAGCTGGCAAGCCAGGTTGTTGATAGTTTCTAGTGCCACCATTGACACCTGTTGCGGTACGTACGGAGAGTCGAAGAGTTTCACTATGGGCGGAATAATCAGCGGTAGATAGTAACCCAAAGTGCTTCCAAACTTTTGTAGAGCTTGGAGCAATCGTCTGGTGACCATTCTATCTTTCGAGTTATCATGCTGAAGCACCCTTAGAATCTGAGGGATCAGCTCCGCTAAATAATCCCTGAACTCGCAGCCCAAAGCCACGGCAATTTGTTCGATCAAATTAATTAAAGTGTTTTGCAAGGGTGTGTTAATGGTCCAAAACTCTTTGATCAACTTGAAAATTTCGCCCATGTAGCTGATAATGTGCAGCTTCACAAAGGCAACTAGAATGGCAAGCTGCTGAAACAGAAACTCCCTAAGATTGTTATCCGCGGTACGTACGTTATCCAGCAAATTAGGAAGCACTTGGGCCAAGTACGGCACGCATTTGATGCCGAGGCTCTGGAAGATGAAGGTCACAGCCTGCACCACACTTGTATGCCGAGTACTCAGAGTGGGATCCCGAAGGATCCGCATCAAGGCAGCTATGGCCACTGCTGGGTAATACTCGTCCAAAGCATTACCCATATTGACCAGTAGTTCTGCGGTGGAGATGTCCTGACTCTCGTCTACTTTGCCATCAGAGTATGCTATCAGAACATTATCCTTTTGGCTGTCAATCAAGCCCTTGTTCATTTTGTGCTTGTAAGGATCCATGGCTCCCAATAGGCCTAGCACACGGATCGTTTCCCGTCGAATAGAGCGACGCTGTTCCGTTTTGAGAAAGTTGATCAATATGTCGATAAGCACGGGGTACTTGTGGTACGGGCTAACAACCCTGCCCGTTGCACTAATTAGTTGTCCCAAGGTCCACAGAGCCACTCCTCGCTTATCCGGGCTACCAGCATCCCCGAGCATCTCGAGTAAAATGGATAGAAGGTCATCTGCCCACAGTTCCATTTCATCGGAACCTCCATTCACCTCTGCCAGGTCACCTATGGTGCGAAGCACATTTAGAATTACCCCCGGATTCGATTCCGGCTCATGAAGTTTGGGCACTAGGGCCTTTAGGATCGGATTCATGTATGAGGATATCAGCCTAGGCGTGCTTATCACCAGATGGTCTAGCATCTTAGCGCTCTGCTCCTTGTTCCTACTCATTCCCGAGTACTTCAAATCCGTAATCAACTCGATCATGGTGGTTCTTAGCTTGGGCATCACATAGGCCGGGTTCATGGAGGACAATCTTCCAATGGTGACCATCGCCAGCTCCCGTATCTCAAAGATCTCGTCATGTAGGGTAATAAAAAGTGAGTTTAGAGACTCAGGCTGTGCGAGTTTTGCATCAAAGGTCTCGTCCAGCGAGCGGAGGATACGTATCCGCACATTGCAGTCCATGTCCGTTATGGCCACCATCAGCAGGCGCTCAATCACGTGAGATACGGTGTCGCTAAGGGTCTTGGAATTTTCCATACTTTCAGAGGATTGCACTGCCAGTTTCAGGAGTCGCGTGCAGGTTTGCACCGCCTCCAGACGTATCTCCTGCTGTTCATGAACGATGAAGTAATCGGCACAACTAGAATAAGAAATTCAAGCTTTTACTATAATTAAAGGATAATAATCTTTTTGCTTACCGTTGCACGAAGTCCAACATATTCTGCTCCTCAAAGTTAAATGTCCCCAGTGTTTTTAGAGCCAGTACTGTGGTGGCTCCGTCTGCGTTTTGCATCAGCGATGCATCGATCGCGATCGGAGGCAGAGCAGTATATGGAACGGCAGCTGCCTTGTTCATTAGGACCTGAGATAGAATTCCAATCAAGCCTTCTGTGATGGCGGACTTTAACTGCGGCACGTTCTCAGAAAGTTCTCTCAGGCAAACGGTTAAAGCTGGTGAGAGTCCCGTGTAGAACATCTGCTCAAGTATATCCTTAACATCTTCGGCTATCTCCGACTTAACGGCATGTGCAAGAAGCGTTATGCAGGCAAAGACTGCAGGGTCCACTGGCACCTTTCGTTTACTGGTCAAGTCCTTCGCTGGCAGCGCGACCTTCACGCTGCCCATGATCGCGGATAGATGAACCTCGATTGCACTTTGAACGGCCACTGCCATGTAACCGATGGTAATGTAGGCGACCGTACGATCCTTATCCTTGCCCCGCAGGATTAGCATTAAGTGCGACACGCAAGTTTGTAGGTACTTTTCCACGAACACTTCGCGGTTAAACGCAGCCAGTCGAGGAAGGATTTGCAGCAGAGCCTGCTGGACATAGGGTGACTTTAAAGAACGCTGCTCCAAGACATTGTCGCAAATGGTAGTGTAGTGCTCCTGAAGTATCTCGTGAGCGTAGGCAGACTCCAATACGTTATGCTTTGGAAAAATTAGGCTTGTTAGATAATTTTGTTTTAAATGTTTTAAATATAACTTAATTATTTTCGAAGATTAGGAAAAAAAAATATATAAATACCAATCAGATTCATTAGTTTTAAATGAAAATAGGTTGAAAAATAAAAAAATCACAGTACACAGCTAGATCTTATTACGTTTGCCTTTCAAATATAATTGGGTCAGCTGATTTCTTGCTACTTACTACGTAAACAAATAAATGAGAGTAACAAATACATTCGAGTGTGGGGATATTAGATCGTTAGACTCACGCTCGCGAACTTGGCCACGCCGTTGTGATGTTCTGCATCGCCCAAATGCGTATGGGTGCTGCCCAGCTTGTCGATGAAGGGCACCTTAAGTCGCGGCACTAGGGTATTCAGCTGGGAGCCCATTCCCGACGTGCTGCTGGCCTCCAGGAACTTGTTGTGCTGTGCTTTGGGGAAAAGCGTCTTAAGCGACGTGTAGCGCCGCTCCCAGGTGGCATTTGCACAGCGAAACAGCTCGTTGAAGACGATAAGGCCGCCGTGAATGCGATCGTCTCTGTACACGCCCTTCTGCTCCTTGCCAGCGGTGAGATCCGCACTGAAACTGGCATTGGCCTCGTCATAGCAGATCCGGTACCACTGTGGTTCACTGGATTGTTTTGTGCTCTCTCGCTGGGCAGTGACAATTAAAGCAGCCCTTAAAGCCTCCCCTGCGGACTCACGAATGGCAGGTTTCGGATCGAAGATGGCGTTAAAGATGACCTCGAAGAATGTGAGGATGTGCTGGTAGAAGTAAGTCGGCAGGGCGATGGCCAGCTCACGAAGAATAAAGACGGCTGCGTGGCGGCGGTACTGAAAAGAAAAACATTTACAAATGTTCTTAATTTTACCATTCAGTCTTAAATAACAAGTTTAACTCGCTTTAAGAAAAATCCTTTTAATTGAAATAAAAGTAAATTTTCATATATATTTAATTTGGTCGACTTAGAACCAAGAGATAAGTTTAGATAAATAGTAAGTTACTTCAAAAACGACTTAAGTGCAGCTCTAAATGTTTAATCCCATGATGTTACTCACCTCTTGTCTCTCTCCTCTAAGCACCTCGAAGGCCTTTTTAATGTCGAAGTCGAAGGAATCGGCACCCTTGGAAGTCGGCATGTTAGCCAGTTTGACCAGAGAGCGGGCGGCAATCTCCATGACGGACACATCGTTGATCAGGAGCAGGTCCCGCAGGCGGTTCAAATAGGGCGAAATGCCCTTCCTGGCCGTCAGGCTGCCCTCGCAGTTAATCAGGCACTCTAAAAAGGCAAACAATAAATCCTCTATAGATCCCCAGCGTTCCCAGGACTCACTCATGGCCAGGGCACCGCCCTTCTTCTCGTTTATGTCCGCCGCATTCACCATGGTGAAGATGTGGTGGTCGAACTCGTCGAAGAACTGTGCCAGTTCCTCCTGGGACATTTCGCGCAACTCGGTCTTCACGTAGAAGAGCAGGTCCTGGGTGGCCTTGTTCTGAACATTCCGGTTGCGGGACTTGAGCCCGTTCACGAACTGCTGCACCACCGACGTCGTCGACATGGCTGGGCAGGATATATCCACTAGTTAGAGGCGTTTTTCACTAGCATTTGGGAAGGGAAGGAGTGCGGCAGGTGCATCTGCCTGCTGGGTCCGGACTTTAGAGGTTAACTTTTCGGTTGCCCTAGGGGCTGCGCGCACTGTTCCACTGGTCGCTTGAAGATTTATGATATGCTATCACCGGCGCCGAAGGATCTCACGCGGTTACAAGTCTTTCGCTTGATTTAATTGCGAATTAATTGGGTTTTCACGGATATTTATTGCAGCCGCTGCCGATTAGAGATGTTTTCTTCGCGATACTTCTCGATATTTTCCGATGTCTGTGTTGCTATCGATGTTATGCTATGCATCGATATTTCAGCAGATCGAATCCTGAGTTATAACCTATCTACACTAGCGCGAGCTTTTTATCGACATGAACAGCGGTTGGCAGTGTACCATTAACTGTTTAAATTTAGACCTACACTTTTTATGTCAGCAAAGGCTTTTAGTTTGAAAGGTGCAGTCATAGATTTTAGTTTGTGCACTTTGCAAACGAAAAATTAATTTCAAGAGGGCATTGGTCGCTCTGTAATATTTTAGTAGCACTAATACTCCACACTAATTACCCAGAACGATGAAGTGATTTCTTTGAGGTCATTCCCTCAATTGCTGAAATTTCTTGTTAAATTTTCAACAAATCAGCACTTTTGGGATTACCAAGAATATACATTTAGCAGAATGTAATAACATAAGCCAATGGAATTCAGGTATTACACTGTACATTTATCGTGCGTGCTTCGACATGAGTTTGACATAGTCCAGCTCTATCAAAATCTGGGACCCTCGTCGATAACCGATAGATCAATACTAGAGTAAAATCAAAAAAGCAAGAGAATTTTCATAAGAGCTGGTGAAACAAATGTGAGCATATTTAATTTTAGGACAGCGAAAAAAACAGTAATTACCGCATAGAACAAGCAAGAAGCGAAACTCAATGCGCGTAATAGAAAGAAAATGCGAAAGTCGATAATGTGCTGCGGGAAATGTGTAATATTCAGCTGGTCGTTCGTGGCATGCGTGAAAATTGTATTGGAAAATCGATGCTGGGTCGCGGGGGTGTGAAGCTTTTCACTGGGGGCTGCTGCTGCACACCAGCGCCACCTATGATTTTCCTCACACAGCGCACACGGAAAACTCTCTCGGGGGCATGGAAAATGTGTGTTTTTGTTTAATAATAAAACCGTTACTTTTTTAACAGCCAACGAGCGTTTTGACTGTTACCGAAGCAGAAGAAGAAGAGAAGCAACCGCGACCATGTCCAACTTGAGGAAATTCAAAGACGAGGAGCGCGAGTCGGAATATGGCCGTGTCTACGCGGTGTCGGGACCAGGTAAGCGACGTCACCAGCGTCCTTCAATCGCCGACCCCCAAGATTTGGCTAATCTCCATGTGCTCTTTTTCCCATGCCTTCTCCCCTTCCTGATCCTCGTTCTCGTGCTCCTCATACATCCTCCTGCTTTTTCTCTTTCTGCTGATCCTGCTACTCCTGATTATGCTTCTGGTTACTACTCTCCTCAACCCTGCTCCTCCTTTTCTTTCATCCCCCTTAGTGGTCACCGCGGAGGCCATGTCGGGATCTGCCATGTACGAGCTGGTCCGCGTGGGCTATTACGAGCTGGTGGGCGAAATCATCCGCCTGGAGGGCGACATGGCCACCATCCAGGTGTACGAGGAGACCTCCGGCGTCACCGTGGGCGATCCCGTGCTGCGCACCGGCAAGCCGCTGTCCGTGGAGCTGGGACCCGGCATTATGGGCAGCATCTTCGACGGCATCCAACGTCCTTTGAGGGACATTGGTGAAATGACCAATTCCATCTATATACCCAAAGGTGTCAACACAACCGCCTTATCTCGCTCGGTGATGTGGGAATTCAATCCGCTAAATGTGCGTGTGGGCTCGCACATCACTGGGGGAGATCTTTACGGAGTTGTCCACGAGAACACGCTGGTGAAGCAGCGCATGATTGTGGCTCCCAGGGCCAAGGGAACCGTGCGGTACATTGCCCCGGCGGGCAACTACAACTTGGAGGATATTGTCCTGGAAACGGAGTTCGACGGCGAGATCACCAAGCACACCATGTTGCAGGTGTGGCCAGTGAGGCAGCCACGTCCCGTTACCGAAAAGCTGCCTGCCAACCATCCGCTCTTCACGGGCCAACGCGTCCTCGACTCGCTCTTCCCCTGCGTCCAGGGCGGCACCACTGCCATCCCCGGAGCCTTTGGCTGCGGCAAGACCGTCATCTCGCAGGTGAGTTCCTCTATACTTCTTTATGTAATATTAATATTAAGTTACTATTAGTAACTATCTTAATATTGTAGTATACCTCTAGGGTCCATTTTTTATTTCAAACAGGTTATTTTGTCAAACTTATGATAGTTGGAATTAACTAGAAAAATAATTAAGCTATATATTGTTAAATAATAAACGTAGCTTAAGGCCACAGTAGCTATAGCTGCAACAATGAAGCATAGGTTACAGGTAATTTCTCAATTGCCTTTTAACCTGAGAATAAATAAATAAATAAGTTATAATACCTTTTAATCCGACTGCTTTAAGCATAAACTTCTTTCAAAGCTAAACCCGTTAATACTACGGGCCTAATGGATTTGTTAATTTTATAGAATAATGGTTATAATTAATTTCTTAATATTTACCCTTTTCTCTCCACAGGCTCTGTCCAAGTACTCCAACTCCGATGTGATCATCTACGTCGGTTGCGGCGAGCGTGGTAACGAGATGTCTGAGGTACTGCGAGACTTCCCCGAACTGACTTGCGAAATCGATGGTGTTACCGAATCCATCATGAAGCGTACTGCCCTAGTGGCCAACACCTCCAATATGCCCGTGGCTGCTCGAGAGGCCTCTATCTACACCGGTATTACTCTGTCCGAATACTTCCGCGACATGGGCTACAACGTGGCCATGATGGCAGACTCCACCTCCCGTTGGGCCGAGGCTTTGCGTGAGATTTCAGGTCGTTTGGCTGAGATGCCCGCCGATTCCGGCTACCCGGCTTATCTAGGCGCCCGTCTGGCCACCTTCTACGAGCGTGCTGGGCGCGTAAAGTGCCTGGGTAACCCCGAGCGCGAGGGATCCGTGTCCATTGTGGGAGCTGTGTCGCCTCCTGGTGGTGACTTTTCCGATCCCGTGACCTCCGCCACTTTGGGTATTGTTCAGGTGTTCTGGGGTCTTGACAAGAAGCTGGCTCAGAGGAAGCACTTCCCCTCTATTAACTGGCTCATCTCCTACTCGAAGTACATGCGTGCTCTGGATGAATACTATGACAAGAACTTCCCCGAATTCGTGCCGCTTCGTACCAAGGTCAAGGAGATTCTGCAGGAGGAGGAAGATCTTTCTGAAATCGTACAACTGGTAGGCAAGGCCTCACTGGCCGAGACCGACAAGGTGACTTTGGAAGTGGCCAAGCTGCTCAAGGACGATTTCCTGCAACAGAACTCCTACTCGCCTTACGATCGCGTGTGTCCCTTTTACAAGACAGTGGGCATGCTGAGAAACATCATGTCCTTTTATGAGACCGCCCGACATGCCGTTGAGTCCACAGCCCAATCGGACAACAAGATCACATGGAACACCATTAGGGAGTCAATGGGCGGCATTATGTATCAGCTGTCGTCGATGAAGTTCAAGGTGAGTTTGACATAACCCCGTGTTGGTTATGTAATACAATTATATAACATAAAACTACTCATAAAAGTGTATACTATTAACGTTGCTCTAATTTCAGGACCCAGTGAAAGACGGCGAGCAAAAGATCAAGGCGGACTACGACCAGCTATACGAGGACCTGCAGCAGGCCTTCCGAAATTTGGAGGATTAAGCGGATCCAGCCAACAACAACTGCGGAATTCCCTAGCAAGAGGAATGGAAAAAGAAACAAACCAAACGAAATAAGAAACCAAAGCTAGGTTATTATTCGAATTCCCCATTCAATCTAGTCATATTTACATAATGCATAATAAGATATTTGAATCCAAGTTTATTTATAAGTTAAACAAACAGTTTGGCCCGCTTCAGGTCTAGTCAGGTCAGAATCGAATCAACAGAAGATACACAAAACAAAAAACACACGACGACGGCGAGTTAGGAAAGACGAACAATAATTAGTCGGTAGCGCAAAGGAAACGCAGTTGAACCAGCCATAAACATAATTACCATACATATACAACACATATGTATAACTATCTATGTTGATATATATTTATAATTCACAGCTATGTATTGTTAGTAAATTTTCATATAGTTATCGATTGTGTTCGTTACCCTATTGTGTGAAACTAAACCAACTAAACGAATCTAAAGGGAGTTTGAAACTTTACAAAATTACATAATATTATATTCCTACATATTATAGACCTTTAAAGAACGCAATAACAACGTAGCCCCAAAAGCATGTACCTTTACTACCAAAGAAGAATAGCTATTTCAGTAACTTGTGTGTGTTGCAAATGGAGCTATGGAATAAAATGTATTATGAATGTTACAAAAAGTGAGGGTGTTTTTCATTCGGATCTTTGTGGCTCGAATTTAGTACAAAATGGCAGAAACCAAGATGTACACAATTTAAATCTATTTCGATTAATTATACCCACTACTCGTAGAGTAAAAGGGTATACTAGATCCGATCCCATAAATTATATATATTCTTGATCAAGATGACCAGCATAGTCGATCTAGTCACGTCCGTCCGTATGAACGCTGAGATCTCGGAAACTATAAAAACTAGAAAGTTGATATTAGCCAAATACATTGTAGAGATTTTTTCCGCAGCGCGAGAGCATTTTATTGGGGTGCGACGCCCACTCTAGCGATAATAAACCGCCCGAAATTGTGGCGCCCACAATGAAAACTGTGGGCTAGATTACAACTTTTATCGAAAAGGTATTTTCAATAGTTGTCGATTGACCGAAAAAGTTTTCCATGACCACTCTTACGACCATAACGCTGAAACCAGTCTGAGGCCCACATGACCAAATGTTGTAATCGCCGCTAGGTGGCGGTGGCACCTTGTAATATCGGAAAAAGTGGCTTTGCCGTTTGCCTATCTCCATCTCTCCTGCCCACTCTATGTATGGTTATTTTTATGGTACAAAAACTCTTGAGTTTGTTCCCAAAACGCTTAATAATTGGATTATTTTTAGAAAACATCAAAAATGATTAAATATATATTATTTTAGTTATAAACAATTCTAGATTTTTCTTCCGAACATTAATAAAATTAAATCATATTCGTTTATTCTGGGAGCACATAAAAATGTCACTGTTTTTGTTTTACCAGTATGAAATCTTATCAGTAAACTCATACTTATTTGCTACTGCTGATTTCAGGTTTTATTACACGAATTTCTTATATATGTAGAAATGAACATATTTTTCGCTATCACTTCTTTGAGCCTAGATAGGGATTGACAGATTGATTTTCTATAAAAGCAGGCAACTGAGCTTCAACATTTCAGTTGTCCAATGATACCTTGTTTCAAGCTACAGATACTAATTCTGAACCACTTTGAAATGGAAAAAGTGGCAGCCATTGGGTTATTCGTGTTAATGGTTGGATGTCCTTATGGATATACAGCAGCTGGAAATCCATCGGCAGATCTAGAGAACCGCTGTAATGGACACTTTTTCACGAGGTTAAAGCCAGTTATGGATCTTGTTCAATCCAACCAGGATCAATGGGACACCTGCAAAAAAATCATAGCAAAAGGCGTCCAGGAGGAAGAGAAGCAGATACAGATCCAACTCGAAGCCATGCAGGAATCCTTATCGAGTTTTAAGACTTCTTTGGAGGCTGCTTTTGAAACGAAAATCGAAAACCAGTTTGAAACCCTGATGCAAAATTTAAAGAAACTCATCCCACAGGACTTAGATGCCAGGTTGAGGAGTATAGAACGACAGATCACATCAAAGGAATTCGAGAAAAATCCGCTACTGATTAAAAACCAAACAGGCACAGAGAGCGAACATCAGGTTAAGTTGGAAGGACAGCCAGAGATTTTACAGGATACACTGAGCAAGGCAATTCAAGGTTTCAAGAAGATTGGCTCAAAGTTCTTTTATATTGAAAACGGTTACAAGTTAAATTGGGATGATGCAGTAAGTGCCTGTCGCGGAATGGGGGCACAACTAGCGGATATTGAAAATATGCAGGAGTCTAAGGACCTATATGCTTCTCTTATCTATGACAGTTCCTACTGGCTGGGCATCAGCGCAAGGGCCAAAGAAGTCACGTTCATCTCAGTAGCTTCCGGAAAACAAGTTCCCTTTTTAAAATGGAAGCCAGGACAACCCAACAGCGGATTGAGTGATCGACGCTGCGTTTCCTTTTTTTTTGGTGAAATGTGGGATGACAGGTGCAGCGATACTCATTCTTTCATTTGTAAGGCAGATATATCTGTTTAAAAATAAATATATGGGGAAATAAACAATGTTTGGACTTCGTTATCATTGGTTGCAGGCTCAGGGCAGCTTGGGTCAGGTAAACTTTATAGAGGGCGTAGTACTGGTGTTGATTGTGCAATCAGTGCTTACTCTTATTTTTGCCTGGGATTGTTTGTCCGAAAACGTGTTCAAGGGACCTGAACACGTTTAAATGGTGTTAAATAGAAACATTACTTATTCCCTTTAGGAAAACCCTGCTAGCTTAGCGGCAAAACAGTTATAAAACAGCTTCATTTCGAAAGGCTGATACTCCTGCTACAGACTTGTGCTATGTGTCGTTGAAAAGGTTTTTTGAAATACTTAGCACGCCACCTTTCCTAATTTGTTGAAATACCATAGTTTACAAATTATGGCCGAACGTTCTTTTTTATTTATTTTTTTAAACTTTTTTTTCTTATCTTGCAGGGGCTATAATGATTTAAGTGAGAAGTTTGCATCGCATTGAAGGACCAATGATGTCGCTTTTTTCCCGTCAGATTTGTCTTTTTTTAAAGTGTTGTTGCGGGAAAAAAATAACAACCGCGGACAGCGGGAATACTAGCTTTTTAAAGGGTATATTGTAACCGGGGAAAAGTATGTAACATGTAGAAGGAAGTGTCTCCGACCCCATAATTTATATATATTCTTGATCGCCATCACCAGTCGAGTCGATCTATCCATATCCGTCTGTCCGTGTGAACGCTGTGATCTCGGAAACAATAAGAGCTTGAGGATCGAGTTCAGATTTAGATTCCTTATTTTCGTACGCAGCGCAAGTTTGTTACGCGAACATGCCACGCCCACTCAATGTTTTAGTTTCGTCAATTCCTATCGACTTACCTAAAAAAAGTATGCCACGCCCGTTATAACGCCAAAAACGGCCACTTAACCATATATTGAGATGGCTGGTAGGGTCGCATTACAATCTCGCTTTTACCCAACTCGAGGCATTTTTGTTTATCTAGCTCAATTTACTCAGAAAAAAGTGATACCACTGTGAAGGAGTCGTTTTCGACACTATAAAGTGTATATATTCTTGATGACCATCACTAGACTAGTGGATTTACCCATGTTCGTACGTTTCTGTTTTTGGAAAATTTCAAAAAAAATTTGCAACTGATTTTTTTTGAATGCTAATTGCCACAATCTTACCAGTTTTTAATTTTTAGCAGAAGAGAAGAGTTTGCAAGATTTCACAGTGCCCCGACTTCTTAACTTCTTAATGCTCCTATTCGAACAACTGGAATCTAGTTACTAGACAGATAGGTGGAAAGGTATTAATAAAGAAAATTAAATTTAATTTACACTTTTACAAAATCTTTAAAAACACACATTTTATCGTTATAGTCGTTTGTAGTCGTTAGTGTCGACGTGGCAAACTTTTTTAAAGTCAATCAGAGATGGAAAAAACAAGTACTTCTTTTCTAGCACTTAGAGAACCAATCATTTGCAATACACCATTAAGTATAAGGCAAAGCAAACAAACAAAATTAAAACCGTTTAAAAACATAAGGTCTTTTCAGATTTATTCTCTTTTTAAAGTTCCCACTTTCTTTTGCTGCGGGCCAAAGATTATAAAAGAATTTGTTTACTTTTGCATCATCAAATGGTTAACAAAAAATGTTGTTAATCTTTGAGTTATGTTATATATTTTAGTAGATCTTGTTTGAGAAACACGCTTACAAAAAAAATAATATATATAGCATACTTTAAATATATATGAATTCCTAAATAAACTAATTTAAAACAGCGGTTACCAAAAACAAACTCGAAACCGCTTCAAACAGGAACGACTTAATATGGGAGTGGAACAACGTTGCTAAAAGATGAGAAAAAAAAATTCTTGATTTCTAAAATATAAATTATAGTGTTACTTGTTAAATCACTTAAATCACATGAAATTTTGGTATAAATATACGATATATTTGATTGCTTAATTTTTCCCAAAAAATTTAACAAATTGCCCTAAATTTTTGTCGACTGAATAGACAGATTTTTAATTTACTTTCAAAGGGCCCTTAGTAAACCGATTTAAAAGGTAATTTGTTCTAATAATTGCACCAAATGCGCCTCATGAATATCCTAAGATGCAGTTATTTAAACAAGCGGGTAAATCGAACTTATTAATGCTCGTTATCGTAATTAAAGAATAGCCACTGCATTCCCGCATTATTTTAAATTTAGCAGTAAAACTATCGATGATTTTTCATTTCTGAAAACACCGATAGCATCTAATAGCTATCGATATTATTAAGCAATGGTTGGCATCGCCAATCACTGAGCAAAATATTTTAAACGATAGGCCGCCTCTAGTTGACGTGTTGTTAAATTTTAATTGTATTTTGTAAATGCATGAATTGTGCTTAAACTAAAGTAGTTATGTCTCAGTTTGGCGGACCCAACGACTTTTACGGCTCCGCGCCTTCGGCAGATGCCAGTTACAACTTCGATATGCCGGAATTTGGTCAGGAACTGTGAGTAGAGCCCGGGAATTCCAGTTTCCACCCGCAATTGTTGCTCCACTTGTTTGCAGGAACTTCCAAACCTTTGACAACACACAGGCCTCAGTGCCACCCAACTACGATGCAGCCTATGCCCAGCCTGCGAGCCAAGGATTGGGCGGATTCTACGATCCCACGGCGTACACTGACACAAGTTACAGCCAGAACAAGAGCGGAAATCCAGGACCCGCCGGAGGAGCCGGCAACGAGTTCGACGATGAACCCCCACTTTTAGAGGGTATGATGGGGTTTTAACTGGGACTATTTAAGGTCTAAGAATTAGGGTGTCTATGATACTTTTGAAAACATTCTAAGCCATAGTCAATAAGAATTCCTTAACTTTTTGCGATGATCTTGAAGAACAGCCATGATAGTCGAGTTCCTAATAGTAAAATATTTATACATAGTTAAATACTTGTAGAGTAAAAGGGTATATTAGATTCGTCGGAGAGTATGTAACAGATAGAAGGAAGCGTTTCCGACCCTAAAAGTATATATTCAGATCAGTACCACTAGCAGAGTCCAACTAGACATGTCCGTCTGCCCGTCCGTATGAACGCTGAGATCTCGAAGACTAAAAGCTTGAAAGTTGGAAAGTTGGAATGAGGCATATAGATTCTAGAGATTCTGGCGCAGCGCAAGTTTATTTCATCATTCTATTATTTTATTTTATTTTTAATACCCAACAACTTGCCAAAAATTTTAATTTAGAGACGTGTTTGTTCCTCATGCTAAGGTTTTCAATATTAACTTTATAAACATACTTATTTAGTCTTACCGTTTGCCGGACCCGCACTATTGTTGTGAATTGCATACCATAACTTTAAAAATTGTAATTGGTTTGGGAAAAAGAGCCGTTAAAGTGAAAAGTACAAATTCAGAAAATTTTAGCTGTTGCATAGTTGTATTCTTACTGATAACACGCGTCGAAAAACACCTCACATGTTAGGATCCTACAATAGAAAGCGCTCGTATGTTAGATCCTTTTTTGTCACAAATGTGAATATCAAAACTATTTTTTACCTCGTTAAAAGGTGTTTTTCATTGTTAAGTATAAATACGGTTAGCACAGTTAGCTTTGAATTCGGCTAGAATTAATGTTGATGCGCTTTAGAAATACAATCGAATTTATCACTAATTGATTTCCGTGTCACCGCGAATCAGTATTTTTGATTATAATCGCTCTGCTTCTACGGTTTTTAGGTAAGATCGAAAACTCTTGTATATGGGCGAAATATGGAACGACAATTCCGTTCAGTTGACATAAGATAGAGGAATCAATATAGGACAACCTATCTCATAAAATGGATTTAGTGGTATATAAAGTAAGGACCGAAGAAATCATTTTTTGTGAGATTTATTTTTAAAAAGCTGCTGTGATTTTTTTTTTCGCAAGGGGTGTTAAAAAAAAAGCCAAATCTCTTTTACGTTTGTTCAAAATGTGTCTAAACAAAAAGCAATTTGGAATAGGAAAATAAAAAAGGCCTTAAAAACAAAAATTGTAATTAATGAATAATTTCTGTTCCTGATATAGGCCTGTTGACTAGGAACAGATTCGATTTTTAGTAGCCTAAACGGTCAAAAATAATTTCAATATTAAAAGTTTAATATGAAATATATTAGTTAGCCTACCGTAATTTGTTAAATCCGTCGTTAAATCTTTTATCAATGCAATCATTTTAAAATCGAACAGTTATTTAGTATTAAATAACTTTATTTTGCCTTCTTTTTCGTTACAGAACTGGGCATCAATCCGAATCACATCTTCCAAAAGGTAAGTGAAAAAAGCAGAACAAAGAAAGCTTTGCCTTAGCTTTTCATAATTTGCGTACTCCACCTTTGGAGCTGCCCGGAGGTGGAAGAGGGCGGCCCTTCTCTTACCCCGCTGCACCTGAACGCATTTTTAACTAGAGATCTTGAGAGGAGCCAGGCAAATTGCATATTTTATGCGCCCGATTCCCGCCGGATGCCACCGACACACACCACAAAGGAGCCCGGAGTTTTGAGTTGCCCACTTTGTTTGCCCGGACAATTACTCCACCCACCGCATAATTCCAGCTTTGCCCTTACGCATTTTCCCCGGCCCCGTGCCTTTTTCTAATTTGTGCAACGCAGCGGGCGGCTTTTCTTTTGGGCGGCCACTTTAGGCCGCGCTTTTCCACTGCGGCCGACTCCGTTTTAATTGAAATTTAAATGTTTTTGCATTTTGCTTTTGTATTTATTGCTAGCTTCTCCTGCCGCAATAATTCTATTGTTTTTCGTTTTTTTCCTGTAATTTTTGCATTTATTATTGTGTGCTTTGTTGTCGCTGCACTTGCCGGTTTGTGTCGTTAATGAAGACATATTTTTTCATTGCACTCGCCGCGGGCCTGGTCGTAGTTGTTTTTAAATAAATAAAGCAACTTTTGTGTTTTTAATTAAAGTTTTTCTCGCTCATTTTTTTCCTTTCCCATTCGGTCCAGTTTGCTGTGTAACTTTCTGCATTTTTGTCCATTTTGTAAAAATTTGCGTGCGCCTGATTCTCATTTCTTTCGCTCCGGCACGGAATTTATTACGCTTGTGTTAATTGAAAAATGAAAATGTTAATGTTAATGAGTCCGTGTGCCATCATAAAACTGAAATGAAATGAAATGCTAATTAAATTGTTCATCAGCTAGCTGGGGGAATTATG